ATCTAAGGCGCCACTGGAAGCTGCTAGAAGCACTGGAGTTGAAACACTCTCATCAGAAGAAGTCAGCTCCAACAATCTCTTGTCTTTGTGCACAAGATGGACTACACAATCAACATGGTTGTAGTATGAAGCATAATGAATTGGAGCCCAGCCTTGGTTATCAAGTATATTGACATCAGCTTTGTAAGCTATCAAACACGACAAGCTATCAAGAGAACCACACCTTGCTGCTAAATGCAAAGGACTGACGCCCTGCGCTGAAATGTTATTGTACCTACGAACATTGACGTCAAAACCCATTACCACCAGCATGGTGATGATCTGTGGTCGATTGAACATTGCAGCATGATGAATCAGTGACAGGCCTGATGAATCTTGTGTGGTTAGTCTRGATGGTGGAAGCCTACGGCACATTGTGTGGAATATTGCTACCAGTCCACGTACTGCACTGGCTTGCAAACCAGCTGGGATCTGTTTCAACTTGACAGTYTTCTGGTAGCCATACCTCTTCTTGTACTGTTCATGAATTTGCARCTCTGGGATTGGCAACCTCTTTGGTTTCAGCTTAGAAATCTCATCGTAGTGAGCATGAATCCATAAAGGATGCTTTGGTGTACTGGGATAGTATGTTTCTAAGTCAATATTCAATACATAATAACTCTTGCCATCCACTTCTACAGGTTTAATGGGGTAACTCTCCATCATMACCGTGTCAGTGGTGACAATTCGGTTGTAGTCTTCTGTGGAAATGTATTGTAAATTCACCTTCTGTGCAATCACTGCATCACTTATCGCCTGGTTGGGACCAGTTTCACGGTCAAATGCGATTCCACCATGAAGATGGAAATACTTCTCTGAACAGTCAAAGTTCTTACATGTAAAGTCTTTTCTGATAATCAAAGGGGGAAATTCCCTCTCGGTTTTACACTCTTCAAAGGTAAAAGCAGGCAGCAGCTTTGTAAAGTCAGGAACTTTGCAGCGTTTCTTCAGTGCAATSAAAAAAGGAACCATGAAACTTATGAACTTCAGCAGCACTAAGGAGCGATGAACCTCAGCTTTCACTGGAAGGTACTTTTTAATAAATTCCTGGTGAATTGTGAGTCTTCGTTGAAGTCTTTCATAACTGTGCTGATCAATCTTATCTGTTTTGACAATACTGCTCAAAATATACTCACAATCCAGCAAAAATAAATTCTGATGTTGGTGGATGTTATTCTGCATAAATGTCAACTTGAGAGCCAGATCGTCAACATTTTTCATGAAGTTCCGCTTGTCTTCCATCACATTTGGGTCATCCTTATTTTCACCCAGCAGACTTTCATAAGCTTTAGCAAAGTCAGGGTCTTTTGATAAATCTTGGATACCAGCTTCTGTCCAAACCAGCTCCATACTCCTGCGAGTTTCAGGCAAACCCGTCATTGAATTTAAATTCACAGCTTGCCTCCATCGCTCAGCAAACTTTGTTCGTTTGTCCTTTGGAAAATAAGCCCCATGCCACAAACTTTTCATCATGTAGTCTACTTCAATCATTATTTGACCTACCCTGGTGTCATTATATGCAGGTGGTATCTGACATGATGTACTACAGTCAAAGTTAGCTTCCAAACTTATGGATGGAGTTTGATTTAACACAAAAATCCCCATCACTAACTCTCTGACGATTTGATGCATTTCTCTAAGCTCAAGTGGCCGAATGCCTTCTTCTTGGGGTATCAGTATTAGACAGTTATTGAAGTTATTAGAAATCTGTATCCCAGATATCAGACCAACAGGGGGGTCAACACTAATTCTCGTATCGTCTGTAGATAACAACCAGTCTGTGGAATAGTAGGCTAAACTCTCCTGAAGCTCATAGCGTTCTATTTTATCAAAGTAAGTAGCTGCAACTCTTGAAGCCGTGAGAGAGTTCATAACATCTGATGAGCTYCCAACTGTGCTACGATGACGTGTAGACATTATGATAGCTTTAAAGTCGTCGAAATTTAAGAAATTCAGGCAGTTTACGGCTGAAAATACCAGTCAGTATTTAACCTACAAACGATGTAATAGTGCCTCAAACATAACTTGTTAACTTCAATAGCAACATCTAAAATATTTATGAGAATTCGATCAAACAGAATAGCATTTATAAACATTCGAAACGAAACTCAAAAACATTTTGTAGAATTAATCACGAAATCGTTGACACGAAGACCACCAAACTGCATTTACCAGACGATAATCGGCTTGTTAGATCCCGATCGATAAACATTTCATCTTCAATCAATAACTCAGTCAAGTCGATCGTTCTCCAACGGCATTGAAGTGGCTTTCTAAATTCGATCGCMAGCTCTGAAATGGTTTCTTGAGATAATCGGCCGCCAATTATTGCTTCTGCGATGAAAATTCCCAGRAATAAACGTTTTCACAAATATCTCTTAAGTATCTGGGGCGAATACATTCAAGGAGTCAACGTCAAAACGCCAAAAAGCTTTTTAAAGTTTACATCGTTTACATTTTGCCCTGGAAACACTGTCAATTGGTCACGTGCTAACACAGGAAGCCCAATGACAAAATGTTACTGGGTCAACGCAAAAAAAGTCTGACGGAAGTACGACTGAGGAATTGTTTATTTCGAAAAAATACAAAGTAAAATTTCGCAAATTGAATAGCACTTTAGAGCGATCTAARTCAGCCATGTTTTCGTCCATCTCTACCCTTCTAATTYAGAGATACAGTTAGCCCAAACACTAAAATTATGGTAGACGTCAAATTCCATTTCTATTGTATTTTAAATAACTTTGACACGTAGCCACTTTCTCTAAGTATCTGTTACTTCGAAAGACTTGGAAAAATATCAAGACGTCCTAAAATTGGCACATACACTTGAAACTAGTCCCACTAGCTTCCTAGTAAAGAAGATTTCCTGGTTGCGTCGGCCTGGAAGGAAGTTGTTGTCGAGTTCGGTTTTTGAAGAGCTAGGCATTATGTCTAGAAAATAAAATATGATGATATGGATAAAACAATCTTATATGTCGAAAGACATGAGACAGTTGTGTATAATTAGCGGATCCTAGTTCCATTTTAGTTGTTTTTCAAGTCAGTTTAAAATATATATTTTTTAATCCGAATAAGTCTTAGTGCGTTTTAGGAAGTCCAAAATTTGCGCGATTATAAGATAAAGACAGCTAAAAAATAAAAACATTGAGATTAAGCACTGAGTCAGCTGAGTACTGTCTCTGTTTACGATCCACATAAGATGCGGGTTAAATTTCCGTCCGCTGCTGCCCCGCGGTACTCTTTGTGGAGGGCGCGTACGAAATACCGATCAAAACAGAGTTCGCGCCTYTGCGTGCTTGTGTTCCATTCARTACGGCGCCAATTGCTGAATTTGASGTACTAAAGTGACAAAACGAATGCAATCAAAAATATAGGTAAGAATTAGAAATTTTAAAGCATCTTGTCTTTCTTATAAAAGATTCATATCTGATTGGTAATATGACAAGCAGTATGACAATATTGTGAATACATAAATAGAGATAAATAGAGGATGTTACATGGGCGCGCGGAGATAAACGAAGAGAGATATCACAATTGRAMAMGAGAAGATAAAATTCGTATCTCCAAGTGCCCATGTAATATTCTGTTTATTATATAAACTCAAATATATAGGATAATTGAAGAAATAGGTTAATTCCATGGTAAGCCGTGTTATTTTCACATTTGAAAGTACATGTATAGCCTTTCCGTACAAGGGATTTACATAGTCTACCTGGTATTTCACTGAAGTACATGAAATAAAAAGGAACATTAAATCGTATATAAGACTTGGTATTACAAGGCTTCAATTTTATGTGACTTTCAATCGGTATGCCACTGAATTTCTTTTTATAATCAAGATTGAATACGATGCAATAAAATACTGACTATAAACATGAGATACATGGTTAGAAGTCCCGTGCAGTCTTATCATACCATTTCCCGGCAAAATATCACTATCTGAATGCCAACAACTGCGGGAGACGACCAGATTAACACTCGGGTCACAAACAAAATCTTAAGCTGCCGCAGTGTTTCTCTCTATGTGTTTCGACTTTTCTTAGTTAATTACATGATATATATTATTTTGTCAATGAATTTCTTATGTTATTTCTGTGACAATGATATAAGGCGGGATTAATACTCCCGCCGGTTAATATCCCGCGGGGATTGCCTAACTGTAATGTCTAGACTACGATTTCTTTTATCGCTAGTTTAGAGGAAGGAAAAGGGATTTTATGGTTCCTGATCTAATCACTAAAATAAGTTCAAATTTGCATTTTGAAATTCATTTTGACTAGACATTGGAAATTATCCTTGAGSAGCATAATAGCGTTATCCTGAGCAGCATATAKTACAATGATAGAGAAAAGTACGAATGTAGCCGAAGCTGCTGAGTGTAGATCTTGTTTACTATGAATGACTCCGAGCCTCCGAGCTTTCGCTGTCAACTCAGACCCATTTTGGTTGTAAATGGAGTAGGAAAAAACATCATTTTACGTCAATTAGATATAGATTTCTTTCAGATAATTTTCCTACCATATTTTYCTGGCATATTTTGTTTCCTTTTTTGTAGTCTAAATTTATTATGCAATATTTTGAGATGATGGGATTTTAAAAACTTGCGCAATTTGCCGGAACTGATTGCATAGACTTTGATTTGGGTCCAGCCATTTTGAATTCAATGAATTCAAACTGAATAAACAAACTAATACATGTCGGACAAGCCGATATTCTCGACCAATAATCTGTTTTTATTACTTCAATTACATTGTAATTAAAACATCGGGGAAGTCGTGCAGATATTGAAACTGGCTTGGCTTGGATTGGCTCGAAGATATGATTTTTTTTTCTCGTGTTAAAAATAACATTTTACTCGCGCTCACTCGAAAATCACCAGTTTACTTTTGGGCTTCCTGTGTCATGTTCAAACGCAACATAGACACATAGATGGATTGACGAAAAGGTAAAGCTAACAGACTGCGGACACTGCAAGTAGCTCAACACAAAAACGCGCGTACGTTTTTTCTTAAGGAAAAGAGCCTGTTGTGAGATTTGGTATCAGCCTTTCCCTGTAGCGGGCGCCGCGGTGCTTTGTTGAACAATTGGTAAACACAACAAGRGATTTAGTACCGAGCAACAGGCATTCAATTGGTGAGATGTCCGAGTGGTTTTACACGCTGATATGATCTATAATGACTTAGAAAGCGATTAGTCTGAAAAAACAACTTGAAAAAAAAAAAAAAAACTTGTTTGCATGGTTTCAGCTCCGTTGAGTACTTTGGTAAACCAGTGCTTTAATCAAAAGATTTCAGAACAATATTAAACCAAACTCTATAAAAGATAAAAAAAAGGCATTGCGCCGGTATTATTTCTGACGCACTTTTTATCAAAATAAAATGATTAATGTATGACTTCACCTTTCGTTTGTGTCAGTCAGCTGTTTACATGAAATTTGAGCAATGCAAAACTCTAAAACGTGTATTTTTATCTAATGAAACAACACAAAGTTCATTTGACTTTTTTGTGTTATTGTATTTCTTCTCAGTTTTCGAAATTTGTTTACCTACTCTCCAATCAATTTTAATAWTTTTTATGGTTTCATTTAACTATTAAAGCAGACCTCTCGACCAATCACTTTGCGTGCACTATCTTTATCATTCTATGATTCACATATTCCACTTAAGATGTGGCCTTAATAATTGAAGGTTCTAATGTGTTTTTGCTTGTTTTCCCACTTTTTAAAAAAGCGTCATCAAGTCTAACTGTCTCAAAAGTTGAAAAAAAAATCCAAGGTAAGGTACGTTTAGACTTAGACTTCACTAATTGTTTTTGTCGCAGTTTCCCGTATTTTTTGTTTGTATTTATTAAGTATTTTTATATTTCAGCTCACTAACCACTTGATTATAGCCGGGTAACTTAGCCAGTCCTAAATATCTCGCTCCTTTTCCAGTTGAAGTAAAATCAACTACTGTATCAATAACAACTAGACAACATCTGAATGCTATAAAATTCTGATTCTTGGAAAATCGATAATTCCAAAGAAATTTTATATTTCTGACAACAATATTTTTTTATCACACACACACACAAAACCATCTGCTTGCTAGCTGTGTAAAAATCATTCTTTAAATAGAAACACTATCTTTCATGAATCCAGCTAATTGCGCTTTCTTGCGAGACTTTATTCAGGTATCATATTCCAAGTACAAGGCTTAAGTAAGACCTTGGAAAATACTTTTAGGTGTTTCTGGTGTTCGTATACAATGACTAAGTGCTATATGGAGATGAATTGTTGGCGATGAATAATAAAATATTACGAGTATAATGCAACTCCCCTCACCTCTCCCGATCGAAATTTAGGCCGAACATCTTTACTGGGTATAGGGGGTAGGTTGCATGGCCCTGTCGAGTAGAATTCATATACACTTGGGTTATGAGAGGGTGACCTACAGAAGTCCATTTTGGCCTGAGGAAACTGATTGAGTAATCACTCAGGGCAAGAATAGAACCGAGGCCCTAACGGCTAGGAATGCGACAAAAAGACCGCTTAGCCATCAAGTCCTCTATCAGTCAAAGATAAATGAACTTATCATCTCGAGAGGAAGCAACAAAGACCCATTGCAARTTTCCCGTAAAAAAGAAATCACATTTTCGACATTTAAATAGACGTTCAGTTCTAGAACCAAAAGCACACGTTGCCGAATCATTTATTCAAGTTCACTAATCTTATTTTCAGACGACAACTCCAGACCATAAAATTTCTCACCAGGAGAGTGCGCATGCGTGGTTTCCATAGTGATCAAGCACGTGCATTCATTCGAGTCAWATAAGAAAACCTGAATAAACCAGCTATCATCCATTCATATTCAGGGGTCTAGAAGAAGAATACCTGACTTGGATCTTAACTTTGAGTATTCAAGCAAATTTACTGACATCGTAAGGCTGTGCRGCCTGTGACGTAAGTAGTGTGATAGCAGSCTAACCTGCTGATTCGTTTGCATGAAAGTTAGAAATATCTTCTCGGTTTCAAGCTGATGTTAATAACGTGTTCCTAAGCTTGCTTCTCTCGTGTTTTTTAACTCCCACCGTGTTTATATCAGAGGACAGAGACACGCGCGCTGTTTTATATTTCTTAATTTGATAAACCTACTTGGGTATCCGATAGTAACAAAAATTTCAGAACATTTCATTTCATTTCGGATTTTTTTTTTCTCCTTAATTTCTGAACCATTTGAAAGCTGCTTTTGATTATGATTAGCTTTTTTGTCGTTGAATCCATAGCGATTGAATTTAGTTTTAAGAATTTTCCAATCAAACCTTCGGTCAGGAACCACGGCTTGTCACATAAAAAATTATCGCTTAGAGATCTAAAATATCAGCTCCACCAAAATGAACAATAAAAAAACTAAATGCAAACCTGATTTGAAATCTTTTGGAAGAGGAATTCAGTCGATTAGTTGGAGTTATTAGCTCCGCTTTGGGTAATTGTAGCGGCTATTTTCTTTGAATCTAATAATGAGTTTACTAGAACACGCGTCGTTCAACACTGACAAATGACAATGTTTATTCATGTTTGGTTTTATCGTCTACTCAAATAAAGCATTTTGTATAATATTTGGCATATTATGTGCTCTGATCTTMACGCCCGGGGGGGCGGGGGTACTCGACCCCGCCAGTTTTGGATAGGTACGTGTCGCCAGTGGTTTAAAACCCTGACCCTGTTTAAGACACTAGAAATTAAGGAATCGCTATCTACGCCTTAACCTACAAAACTGCAATTATACTGACATCCATCAAAGACAATAAGAAGTTTTTGATAACACGTTAATCCTGGTACAGTGAAACGGTATTTCTACTACTAGTATTTCTACGGTATTTCTAATGAAAATATTACCCTGTCMAAGACACACAAAAAAATATATCGGTCTTTTATCTAAATTGTAGAGCCTGTTTAAGACAATTTCGGTTGAAATGTATACCCTGTTTAAGACAGCAAGACCAAAAACCATACCCTGGCCAGAGGCACGTCCCCGTATAGCAAATATATGGGAGTCCCCCCCCCCTTTGTACCCTAATAGATKCACAGACGGGAATCCATATTTATATAGAACAGAAGGCTAACAAAAACAGGGCTTTTGCAATTCACAAGTGTAGCGATTTCCCTCTTGAGTGTTCTCGAAACCGTTCCCAAGGCAGCACTGTAGACGGCGCACGAAAGCGTGCTTTTTCTCTCTAAASTTAAAAGGCACGATTTTCAACCAATCAGCAGAGCGCGCTTACGAATCACTTTCCAATTTTCGTTAAAAAAATGATGTTTGTCCATTAATCAAGGTTTGCAGTTGCAGTAGTGGGAATGAAAACAAAGAAAGCTTGACGCAAAATCCAAAATTCTTCAAATCACCCTTATTGCTGTTTTTTCTTTCGCCACCCTCCTCATTTAGTATTAAATAAATAGATGTATAAACAATTTCCGAGTGAGTCTCAACGAGTGATWAATTCAAATATATAAGATATTATAATGGCTGCGGAATTAACAGTRTGACTGTTTTCTCATGTCAGTAAATAGGTTAATTCCTGTTCCGCAATTGGCGACTTTACTTCATACTACAAGAGACAATATTCGTCTAATTTTCTTTTTGTCATAGAGCTTATTGCACTAGATTTTGGATTATTTTTACACGCTATTGTAATCGACGCTTACATGATCTGGGTGCACAATGGACGATAGTTCGCCAGAATAGTCGAGTGAAGAGAAATTGACATTCTGTTTTAAAGGTTTTTCTATCTGATATTTCTTATTTACTGGGTAATTACACTATCTCCCTATAGAGAATTCAACCCCCGGCACGATTCATAGAAAATTGATATTATTTCAATTATTGCTTGATGTATAATAAAAACAAGACTAGCCAATCAGCTCTTAGGAAACAAGCTCACTTAGTGAACTTAACCTTGGGTGCCTCAGCAGGWTAAGGCACGTTCTAAAGATGTTCTTTATTTCAATATGATTGGGATTAAAATAGCAGGTAATAGCAATACAAACATTTATAAAGCTTCATTTCACGTTGTCTTTTAATCTGCGATTAAAGAGCCATAGTCAACTGGCATCCTTTGCGAGCTCTGCTTTACTAAAATACACATCTCGTATTGTAAGCAAAAACTTGCTCTTAATTATCCCTTGATTCTCTATGAATAAAGATATTGTGGGATTCGATCTTACAACCAACGATGGAAATAGATTGCGAATAAATGTTTCTTTTTTTTGCCATAGAAAAGTCTAATAATCTGATTCCCATAAGATATGATTAATTATTTTACATGCTCCTTATCTAATGAAATTAGTATTCTAATTATTTAAAAAGCCTTAAGTCTCACTGACAAGCAATATACACTGCCCTCATTGCAAAAACGTGGCCCCAAAGAACGTAATACAAGCACAAAAGACGACGAAAAACGTCCAGTCCAAGTTATCTTATTTTGTCTCTTCCTATTGCACTTAAGTATTCTTGCTCTATATTTCTCGTTGATAACGTCTTTGCAACTTGGTGTATGAAAGTGAGTTTCCAAAAGAAGTGGATTATGTGGGCAGGAAATGCGTCTGGTAAATTGAATTCGTCTTGTTTTTTATATCATACAGGCAGGTGGCATAGCTTTAGACATCTCACAATCGCAAGATAGCATCAAAGATAAATGAAAGCAGCGAAAAATCAGGTTTGTTCTTATTATTTTAAGAATGATTTGTTTTTAGAAGTGGGAATCAAGACTAGTGTTGAAATTACGACGTATGTAACTCAATTCACGACTTTTCAATACGCTGGTTCAGTGACCAAGAACAATGCATTTAACCGAGGCGTCAAGGAACACTGATCACAGATCTTTTCTTTTATGTTCACTGTACCTTGACGCCTCGGTTTAATGCTTTGTTCGTGGTCACTGAACCTGCGTATGGAAAGTTGTGAATACAGTCTTTAAAGCAAGGTGGTTTTGAAGCAAAATCTTTGTATATTTTCAATATTTATGAACCTTGGTTCTTGAAAGAAATTGGACATATTTACATGGCTGTTCTCTTGCTTTTTGCTCGCCTATGTATGWACACCTAAATTGAAGAATGTTGTTGCATAAAAAGCGAATATTTGCTGATATAGCGGCAGAGAGAAAGGAATAAACTTAATGATAAAAACTGCCAGTTTTTTTCCTACAGTTTTCTTGCCTTAAATAACCTCGTCGTTCAGTGTAGTGAATTGAATTGAAAACCAAAGTAGAAAATTTGTGGGATATCTATTCATTCGAGGCCTTGAATTGTAAGGAGTAGGGATTTTAATAACCGGACCATAATTATCATCAGTGTATTCTTGATTGGCATTTTAACTTTGAGGCACTCAGGAGGTATTTACATGAAACAGAACTCTTGAATAATCAATTATTTATTTTTTTTGGAGCCTCAAAAATGGCAGATTGGTAGACTAGTTAACAGAATAATAGAAAATAATATTAACAGTTTACACGTTATYTAAAAAAATCTTTATTTTGAAAGACGTTCGGATGAGTGTTCAAGTTCGATTTTGACAAGTACATATCTACTAGGTTTGACAAGCATCTATTTTTTCCATATTTCTTTTTTTCGTTCTTCCTTTTATCTTTTCATTTTTTCTCTTTTTTATATTCCTCTAGCTTTTTATATATTTTTTTTTCATGACAGATGAATATCGAAAACTAAACCGCCCACTACTAATTAAGAATCTCATATGAGTACCTCGTTACCTACTGACCCTTGTTTACCTCGCTTTATCTTGCTGGTTATGTTTATAGTATATATATGTATATATCTTTAATGAGCAAAAACGGTTTTGCTTGTGTTTTAGGTAATCAATTCGATAACAATCTTCCAGTAAAGCCATTTCTAGTGACATCAATAATTATTTTGCCTAGCAATGGTATGCGCGCTTTGTTCGCCGGTTTGTGTTCATTTTCAATCGTTTAACAGGACATATACGCTGCTCCATGATGATCCGTTARCTTGTTGTATTCAAGTCATATTTTKTTAWAGAAAAACATTTTGTGCAGTATTTTCTTGCTATTGTGTTTTTGGTCTTTGGGAATACTGAATTACTAGAAATGCTATYATGTTTATATGTATGTCCTTCAGTAGTTGGAGAGAAYAAATTGAAATGCGAATGCAGCCTACTACTGGAAAAGCTAAAAGCTATTATGTTTGTTTGATCTAGTCATCTTTGAGATACCGTGTGATTATCTGACATGCAATCTTAACGCGTGAGACTTTGTATGAAGTTAGGCTGTTTGTTCCTGGAAGCCTGCTGTGACAAGCACTGACCATATAAACATGAAGAAAAAMTAACAGAATTAAAAACCGAAAAAAATAAACAATATATTAGTAAAAACACCAAAAGCTAAAAGACTAATTGATTATATGTTTTGAATGAGMCCTAGTCTTCTTTAAAGGCCCAGGCGTCTTCCTTGAGGACAAAATTCAGGCAACCGTTTACTTGCAGAATTTCTAAAACCGTCTAGGATTTCGAGTCGACTTAATCCCTGCTCTTCTCCGGATCCGATCTGAATTGTGATTATACTAATTCCAGATAGTTGTTAAATCCACTTGATCAATAACAATTGTTTTTTTTTGATAGTTTTTGACGGCCGATTTTAGCCAAATAATCCGATATTTTGGATCAGTTTTTTCCGTTTGTGTAAAAAGCGAAAAGCATGTCGGGAGAATGTGATGCACGTTAGTTCTCGGTTCCAGTCCCAAAMTTTTCTCAGTTTCTGCTTTGATTTTGTAGTGGATTCATGATAAGGTGGATAGCACAATTCCCCCTTTGTATAAATGATAAACAAACTACTTTCAAATCGTGTGGRATATCTCAAAGATCGCCGAAAAAAGCGCCGAAAAAAGTGATTTGAACGTGGGCCGCAGTTGTTAGCGTCGGTCTTGGTGCAAAGCAGCTTATCACTGGGTGTATTTTTCTAGATGAACAGTAATATCTTAAAATGCATGATTATCTGGCTTAAGTTTATTGACTTAATCATAATCTTTTTACTTTCTTGATTTGGTAGATTTAATGTATCTTTCTATATTGCGATGGATGAACTTAATGTTTAAAGGCCGACAATGAGTACTTGACGGCATTTCAAAGTCCGAGACGAAGTTTGGTTTAGAACCCCATATATTGTCATGATTAGGAGTCCCTATGATYAATTGTAAGAYGAGGGTTTGAAATGTACTGCTATCAACTTTTACAAAGTCCATTGACTTTGAAGCAGAGTTCCTGGGATTTCAAGTTATTGCACGTGGTACCATCCCGGGCTGTATAATTGGCTCGTGAATTACTTTTGAGAATTGTATATATATAGATGTAATTCAGTTTGTCGGATGAGCTTTAAAACACAGGTATAATCAGCATCAACCTGTAAGCCATATACCAGGCTAGTAACGAGGTATATTTTTTTGCTGTTGATCCGGATCAAAACGGCCTAAAAACGTGATCCCGATCCCAAAACTCCGTACATTTTGAGCCGTGATCCCCTTACAGAATCGTTGAAAATACGTCTCAGTATTTGCAAGTTTTCATTGCCCCTAGCACAGAAAGTAATTGCATTTTATTTCAATCAATTCAAACTCACTTGCTAATGCGGGTACATGCTGTGMTATTGATGTTTAAGTAAATAGAAATGACAGGTTGTGGCTTTTTAGCTTAATGATTTAATATTTGAATCTCAAGTGTTTGTCACTGACCAGAATAGATAAGTACAGGCAGGACGATCAGCTATACGTCTCACAAAATTCATTTTGACTGACACTAGTTTTGCTTTTTTCAGAGTTCCGCATCTATGTGGTCAACAACTTGGCTATACCTGCTTGAGGCAGTGATTATAGTTGTAGTAAACGTTACTACAATCGCTATTTTCATAACTACTCGACGACTTAGATGTCGAAAGTACGTTCTAATCGTAAACATGGCGTTTGCAGATTTGTTCGTTGGTTGTATAACACTCCCCTGTTACGTCTATTGGAGGGTCAGGCTACTGCAAACCCAAGATGAAACTTCAGACAGTTTTCTATTTTTTTTCCATTTTGCTGACATCTTCTTTGGAACTGCATCTGTCTTTAGTTTAACATCTATGGCTATTGAGCGGGCGCATGCGACATTTTTTCCATTCAAACACGAGGCGTTGCGGTTTTCTTCATATAGAATAGGAGTTACTTTGGTGTGGCTGGCGGCGCTAACCAATACACTCCTGTCTCTAACAGCCTTAAAAAAACTACCAAGACTTTATAGCATAGCTTTTCAACTCTCCTTATCTCTTGGAATTGTCTCTATTGCATATTTGCTTATTTGGATAAAAGTCACTCGCAACAGAAACGCTGCAATTGGAAGTAATAAAAAGTTAACAGTTACTCTTGGTATCGTTACTATTACAAGCTTCGTAGCATTGATGCCTTTATTGGTGACTAGTTTGTACGGTGTTTTTTGTCCCACCTGTTTAGATAAAGTACAATGGTCACTCTCATCTATAGCTACATTTTTCTATTGTGGAAACTCGGGTGTTAACTTTTTTGTATATGCCTTTCGGTTACGTGATTTCCGAGCTGAACTATATCGTAGATTTAGCTGCTGCAAGAGCTGCTCACGCCGACAGGATGGAAGATTCGAGCTTCAACAAAACCTCAATTCAACATAGCTGTTTAGACTGTTAAGTGAATATGGAAGTGTGTATTCCTTCGAGTATAATATGTAAAGTTTGCTGTACTTGTATTACGCCTGTATTGAATGCTGCTCTCATCTATTCAATCCTTCATTTCCTATGGGCACTTCCCGAGTCTTTCCTGATATTCAATGTAAAAAAAAAAATCAAAGTGATTCATATTATTATTACTTCACTTTCTATTGTTTTTATTTTCCTGGTATAGTGAAACTTGACTTATCTCATCTTTCTATGAGACCGTCGTCAGATGATAAGAATCTTTGAAAAACATTTTTAAAGTGGAAGCTCGTAACAAAAGATTATAAAAAACACTTGGGGAAACCTAGTTATTGTAGCATCAGAGAGTTATCTATTTGTGAAAGCAAGATCAATTTACTTATACTGCTAGAGGCGAAATGTGAATAAAATCTAATATTTTTTTATCATCATGCCTTTCCATTAATGTCTTAACATCCTTAAGAATTCTTGGCTAATGCTTCATTATTAATTCAAATCCAAGTGTAGTAGGAAGTATTTCAAGTTTTTTTTAAAGAAATGTATTAAAATTGGTCGTCAGTGAGTATTCTTCAATTCATTTTCGGTCATTTCATTACAGGCGGAAATCGCCTGATGGTTTGACAAGCAGCGATGTAAGCAATGTAAATAGCAACGTTTAATCTTAAAAGCGTTGATAACGGTATATTTGTCTCATGTGATAGCAGTAAGAAGAATCAAATGAAGCCAACTATCCAATAAACAATGAGTCACCCTAGCCCCAATAGTTAAAAAAGAAAAACGATGAAAAGTAAAGAAAATGATTCGATCAATTGAATGAAAACARMAAAAAAAAAAAAAAAAARAAAARAAARAAAGAAAAARAAAAAAGAAAAAWAAGAAAGAGAACAAAAGAGAGAAGAGAACAAATAAGAAGACTCCAATGCAGAACAAAAGTAAAAATAGAGCGAGGGCATTATGACTTCTTAATCCGTATTTCAAGGTTTTACCCAGCGACACAAAAACTACACACACCAATATTAAAATTAAGAATTTTGGAGTGACTGAAACTTGGAGTTTTTTTATTTTGACATTCAGTCCTTCCGGCGAATATAATTACTTCTCCTGTTCGTCGCTCAAGTATTACTCTAAAAGCACATAAATCTGCTATTCAGTGTGGCTGTGATAAAAATGATATATGCCTATCGGAAAATGCCAAGCATTAATCATAAAAGATTGACGAAAAATGCCTGAGGTTCTTTGACGGCGCTGTCGTGGAGTTGTGTGTGGAACGAGCCAACCCACTGAACTAAATAAAGGAGTGTCCCAGTGCCTCCTGAGTACCTGTCTGGAAAACAAGCTTGGGGCTATATTAAGCCTTCTACACTAAGCCTTTTTATCCTCTTTTTTACAATTAACTAAACTACAAACTTACAGTACTCCACATCGGGGTATTTTGCCAACTAAAGCTGTATTTGGTGAACTCATTTCTGCGCGACCAGACGGAATGGAAGCATGGTTCCATTAACATACACTCTCTGTAAATGATCGAGACTGATATAGTCTTTAATTTTCTTATCAGGTACTTGCTCAAGGACAGAAAGAATCGCAATAATGCTTAATCAAACGACTGTATTCCAATGACAAACATACGCAATAGAAATGAAAACAAGTGGTGTTTGTTCTAGTAAATCTTTTACTCTATTTTGTAGTTAACTGTTCCTAATCGGTGACAACCACCTGTCACAGATAGACTGCTGCCTAGATATGTTGTTACGAGAGACTGAATAATGCACGGACCCTAAGGTAATGTGGGTAATAAAGAAGAATGAAGAAAAACCTGACAAATATTTGTAAACAACGCATTTTAGTCGTGCATCATCCATGTCGTTCGTGTGGGATCCCTGTGTTTTTAGCATTGGGCTTCCCGGAACTACCAAATCTATACCATATATGGAAGCGAACAAGATGGCCGATCGTTCAAAATATTTCGTTGTATATTTGGATGATTTTGAGCTTTAAAAAACGTTTCTATACTTTACTTCCAAATAAGGTAAGCTAGATTACCATATATGGGTGCTAAACGAATGATAACAGTTCTTTTCTGATACTGTTCTCTGACAACCTCTATGAAATACTAGTATCAGTGTATTACAATGACACTTTCATTTTGTTTAATATTTTACGGAGAAAGAGGCCTCCATTCTGTGTTGTTTGTCTTGCCACCAGAAGAAGATGAGCCATGATTCGAGAAAGAGCCATCAAAATTCACGTACAGATGATCTTCATAGCTCCTCATGTTGATGAATTCCTATTGGTTAACAGAACAATTGATGACGTATCAACACATTTCGTCACCACTGGTGACGTAAGTAAAGTCTTGTTTTGAAGTGCTAAATGTTTGTCAGTGCATTGGTGTGTCTTTTATTTTCTGGCACTGTTATTGCTTTATTGTTCTGGCATTATTGATGTGTTTGTCTATCTCTGTTTGTCTTTCACATACATAAACTTCCACATTTTGTTGGACAAGAATCTACAAAACTTCCAAACTGAATGTAAAGCTAAGCCGAGAATCTAAATAACCAATTAATATGTGTAGAAAATTAAAGGATTAACTTAATACTGTAACGTCCGATTGTTTCTTTTATCTTGTTTTGCAGGATAAATTGTTACTATGTTTTCTTAAAATGCTTTGTTTATATGATAATAGCTCAATGAATGTCAGTGTCTTTGCAACCTGAGTATCACGTGATGATGTGCATATATGCATTGCAATATAACTGCATTTAATGTCGTGTGTTTATCCATATTTTAGTTCATCTGTCATGCAATTTTTGCCATAATTTTAAAACTCTTAACGTGTCTTTACTGCCTCTTGTTTTTCTCTTCTTTGTCCATATACAGCTCCAAACATGCAATCGAAACACCACTCCACTAGTTAACATCATGCAGTAGTTTTTACTTTAGTTTGTGTTTTCATGCCATGCAGTGCTAGAAGAATGTCGATAATGGCTGGTCCGATGCAACAGATCCTGCAGACCCAGGAAATGTTGATGACGGCCGGGAATCGAAATTCATGTAGGTATGTTCTTCATAAATCCGCATGCAAATATAGTCCTAAAGCAGAGAAATATTACATAACTACCATGCAACTAAAGGATTATAGCTTTTAATGTTTGGTGAAGCGCCTTCGCATTTTAAATTGATCCGTCCTAAGAATCATGTATGGTATAAATGAGAATGAACCTGTTATTTGGCATTAACATGATATCTATGACGTCATAATACGTCATAATACGTCATACGTTACTAGTGCGTCACATGATGATGTTATGTTATGATACGCAGGACTTACCCGTTCGTCGGCCAACATTTTGTGCAAATGGCGAGAGATTTCCAAGAATGTTGGCCTTCGCTGTGGTATAACCTGCCAACAATCTAACATTACACAGTACCTGCAAGCAACGAATTTTTATCAGAAAATCATAAACTATTCCTTCGAAAAAAAGGAACAAAGCTATCGACGCCATGTTGGATGAATGAGCAAGTGAATCAAATAGGGAATGTTATTCCGACCCAAAATGGCGGCGATGAAGTAACGTGCAACCCGAAAAAAATGCATTCAATCATTTCGCATTCATGCTCGCGGTCAAATATGCATCTGCGTCTATCCATTTCTTATTTCATATTCATTCTCTTCTTACTCCTATTTCGTTTACTTAGTCATTCAAGGTACGTACAATTCTTCAGAGCAGTGTTTTGGTTTGTCCATGCGATATCCATCACGGAGGAAATTGATCACCTCTTGTGAGTTCATACCAGGATATGGCGATGCACCTGAAAACAGTTGAATTTTTTATTAAAATCCCGTTTTTTTTGCTGATAAATATATTATTATTAGTACATGTTGTAAATTGTGTAATGCTACTGAAGCGGTTGATTCGAAAGTTTAAACACATAATAAGAATCTGGTGCAATGATCGTACTTACCTAGAGTCACAATCTCCCAGAGTAAAACCCCGTACGACCAACTAAACCAAACAAATTAATGATCAAACAATTTTATCGTAAAATACTTAAAAATGATTATATAGTGATGAATTTCCTGAATCATGTGAGTTCCGTTGTTTTCTATTGTCTAATCTACTCTATATTATGCTATTTAGCACTATTTCTGGTCAGCACTTATTGCGCTCGTTAGCAATCAGTATAGAACTTCGACGACGACTTACGCGTCACTGCTTGTGGTCGAGACTCCGTCAAGAAGAGATTCAATGGCCATCCACTTGATAGGAAAGCGACCTCCCTGCAGCGAAAACAATGAACTATGATAGTGGATATCTGTTGTACAAATTATGTCCCTAAAACATTGTATGTTCTAAAAGCAATAGTACAAGGCCTCGTGGTTACTATAGAAAAAAGACAGGGAAAGATGTCGACAGGTTTTCATTCTTATTCCGAGAATTTTTTGATTGAAAAAGATAAAGTTCATTTTAACAGACACATCTGTAATTTCGCCTCTCTATTGAAACATTTGGTGATTAAATTAATAACGCGAAGGTGCAATTGATTTCAATGTTGACTATTATCAGTCGTTTTGAACTATCATGCGTAAACGCCGCTAACGTACTTGCGTTTTTCTTGTGTAGTGATCTTCAACGTAAATGTCCCTTGCAAAACCAAAATCGCTGACTTTACAGACTTTTCTATCATCGATAAGAATGTTACGTGCGGCAAGATCTCGATGAACAACCTGGGAATGAGAAAATAGTATTACAGTCAACTCTCTCGTAAGCGACCACCTCGGAATCAGGAAAAAGTGGTCGTTTATGGGAGATGCTCGCTTACAAAAACGTTTTTTTACAGAGTTTATATGGGAAACTGAACAAAACGTGAAATTTAAAAGGTGGTCGCTTACGGGAGATGGTCGCTTACTAGAGAGGTCGTTCAAGGAGAGTTAACTGTACTTGTTGGGTTAATCAAAGCCGTTTCAATTGTAAATCGCAAGCGGGATCAAAGCCGTTTCGATCCTTAGCTGATACATAAGGCGGTGATGTGAAGCGTTTAGTCTTTGATCGACTCTGAGTTACTGTTGAAGTCTCAGAAATCACGAAATGTAGTATACAATGTAAACATCAGTAAGCTGTTGATGGCTTAAGTGTTTCATATCAAAATTACTTACTTTCATGCTAGAGAGGTGCGCCATACCCCTTGCAACCTGGATAGCAAACGATAACAAATCCTTTGATGTGAGCTTTTCTTCAGGTACATTGTATATTTGCTGATAGTATTTCTCCTCAATTCCTCTACAATGACGTAAATAGCTTTGCAGGTCACCATATTCACAGAATTCAACTATAAGCATTAAAGGATCTGAGAAAATAAGAGAAGCAAATGATTAAGGTTCATCAGAAAGCTTAGGAAATTACAGATAAAAACTTGTGTGAAAAAATAGGTGAAAAACTTCGCGCCATGTTTACTGCGATTGCGCAGTATGCTTTGATACGATACAATAACGTACTCTAGCTCCATACGTATACAAAAATATTTCTAGTTTATAAACTGAATGATCTCTTCAGATTTATGAGTAAGTTTATTTACAAACTGCATTGGATTCCCACGACGTGAAACAATTTGAACGCACGCTTGAGTTATAGTTCATATCAAACAAAAGAAACCTGCGAGTAACGCAAAATAACCGAAATGAGGCATTTATACAGTGATACGTAGACATACAATGATAATAAGAATATGAACTTACCACCCCTAGTGCAGCAACCTAATAAACCAACAACATTTGGATGAGGGTCGATCAGCTTAAGTAGTTCTAACTCTGCCAGAAGATCTTTCCTTGCTGTTTCGCTATCAGTTTCTATAAACAAATATGGTRAGACATAAAGTGAAGACATGTACTATATATATCTCCATCCGGCCGCTATGTAGCGTTATTTTGATTTTCCCGCGTCATCAGTTTAGCTATACAGAGCGAATAATTCCCGCTCTTTCATTAATTAACTAAAAGCAGCATCCCACCTTTTACGATCTTGACAGCTACTGTTAGTGACCCAACACATCCCTTGATGCCTTGCGCGTCTGCTTTCATAACCATACCGAATGCACCAGAGCCAAGGACTACAGACGATTTAATACGATCCCTTGGGAACTCCCATCGGCTATTTGATAGCGGATTTGCCGTGGCTTCTGCATTAGGAGTCTCAGGTAGTTGACTTTGAGGGGGCAAAAACTAAACAAATTTAAAGAATATAGATTATTATTGAAATCAATTGTGACTACATTTTTATTGGAAGTAAAGGAAAGAGAAAAGCGCCAAATACAGTTCTGATACACTCTCTCTAATTGACGTTGATTGGAAGTATTTTGACGTTAAAGCGATGTGTTATACTTTTGAAAAATACAAAGTTTCTTGTCTTGACTGTTCGTGGCGATGTTTATCCCATGCCGCTTTGTCCGGCAAACCGTGAAGTCTTTTCTTTGCACATTCACAGCCATGTACATTCACATACATTCTCTCAGTACCACCTCGCATTCACAGACACTTGTAACTGAGTAAAAGCGGCTTTAAAATAATCCTTCATTTTGATTATTTATGTTTATAATATTAGGAACCTTTTTCTGTCGAACAACTTTAAACGTTAATACGTGGAGTGGAAGTAACAAGAACTAGCTTATGTACAGCAAACAACAAAACAAAAACAACACTTACAGATGTCATTTCGGAATTGTCACGTTGACTTTCTTGTCTACCAAAAGCAGATGTTGGTTGTTCATTTCTTCGTTGCATTCGTCGTATGGAGCACAATGTAGCCAAGATGATCACCAATAGCAACATAAACCCACCGGCAACAGCGGCGATCAACACGGTCATATCAATTCCACCCAGAATGCCTTTCTCCTTGTCATCTGATAGAGCATCAACGGATGCTTCTGTAAGCGAAACAGGATGACCGATTTCGGTGTGGCGTCATTATAAATTATATGTATGGCATATTTAAAAGTGATTGCACAAAGCAAGAAGAGGTTAGACAGTCAATTTATACATGTAAGTATTTCTTATCTTGAGTTTTTAGGGTTGAAGAAAGATTAAACAACCAAAAATCACCAAAAATTCATTAGCCGTACCCGTGAAAAACGTAAAAATATAGAAATACCGGTATGTAAAATTGAGAAAACGTACCTTTTTGCATGGTCTTAGCCATGTATATCGAACTATATGGACTGCTTCCTATTGAATTACTTGCTAGTATGCGATAGTTATAGTTGGTATCGGACTGCAAGTCTGTGATGGTGTAAGTGGTAGCTTCGGCGGGTGTGATTTGAATTGAGTTCCATTTCTGTTTGCTGCTTATTTTGTACTGAAGAGTCAGAGACAGCAGCTTAACCCCCCCGTCGTACGAGAATTCCCACGTCACTTCCGCTGTTGTTGGTGACGTTTTGACTGACAGGATACGTGGTGATTGTGGATTGGCTGAAAGTGAACGATTGAAAAAGACGTGAAGTTCATAGAGCACGGGCATTCAGATACAGCAAACATGCAACAACAAGAGCAACAATAACACAATAGCAACAACAATGGCAACAGACACAACAAGAGCAACAACAACAATAGCATAAAATAACAACAGCAGCAACAGCAACAATAACAACAATGGCAACAACAACAGCAACAAACAACAACAACATGAATGGCAACAACAAAAACATCAATAGCAACAAGGACAACAACAGCAATGGCAACAACAACAACATTGGTAACAACAAGGATTAACACTTACTGTATCCTGTCAGGGAAATGTTTTTTGCATCCTGGCCGAACTTGTTCTTCGTTCTACACAAGTATTTTATCCAATCTTTGTCGGTGATTTTCTTGATTGTCAAGTAACTTACACCTGTGTGATTCAAGCGATACGTTCTGACTTTGTATCGATCGTCTTCCTCAGCATCTCCCATTGTCATGGTAACATTATCTGCTGTCGTCCATATCCATGTAAATACAGGTTCGGGATTCCCGCGGGACTCGCATGCGAGTTTTGCAGTTTGACCCGCGTTGAAATGAAAATTTGATTTTCCCATGATTAATGGCGGTTCTGCAAAAAATTAACGAAGTACATATCTAAATCGTACACAATATTCGTATAAATGAATGAATGACACTTTGTTTGACCTCCAAGTCTATTCAGTTAACAGATCACTTCTACAATGTCTTACCAAGCACTGTTACAGTAAAACTCTTGCTATCTTTTCCTATGTTATTCCAAGCCATACACGAGTATCTTCCTCCATCGCTTTGCCTTGCGTCTTTGATGACTAATGTACTGTCCCTGCGAACAACTCGGTCGTTTGATATCTTCTTGCCATCTTTTGTCCATATATAAGCTGGAATTGGGTACCCTGTGGCTTTACAGCTGACTACTAAGTTCAGTGGGCTCAACTTTCGCTGGGTTAAGGTGATTTTAATTTTCTTCGTCGATATCATTGGCTTGGCTAGAGTATGCAAAAGGTCACAGTGATTATTATCAAGTATAAAGTGTCTTTATCCATTGCACAATATTTGTTCTAATTTGACGGTTAGGCTCTATTTTCAGCTCAAATTCCCAATCGACAGTCTTGACTGGTGTTGTGTTGTTTTAGTTCGTTCAATGCAATTAGACAATTAATTTTCATTTTTCCAAATATGGTAACTATTTTCTTTTATTCAGTTGTCTTGATCTAATGATTTGAGGAGCTGCATCTACCACCCCCCCCCCCCCCCCCCCTACTACTAACCATCGGCATGCATTGGTTTTGAAACAGGAATTCCGAAATACCAGATTTCCAAAGGAGAACATAGATTCAAAGGGAGAATTTAGTGCAAACTAAAAGAATATTGCTAACCTCTAACGTACAGCCGTACACTGGTCTCGGCCATCGATGAGTCTACATAAAGACCTTTACATTTATATATATCAGCATCTTTTGAAGTAGTTAATGGTATATTCAGACTGTTCTGTGAGCCAAAGTTTACAGCGCGCTTTGTATGCTTGTATGTTGATAATGGATTGAGCCTTTTGCTCAGATATCTTGTGGTATTCTTTGACCAAGAGATTAGAAACAGCATCTTTTGACTTGGAGGAAGCTTGCATGGAAGCGATGCGTTCTGGCCTTCATCGACTGTTACGTTTTGAATTTGCTTTGCATCCAGAATTCCTAGAGAACAATTTATTAATAAAATGAATTCATTAAATAAAATTTCAAACGAGAAAAGTGACAAGACTGAAGCTCAGTGTGTCTTCTTTCAGTTCTTTTCTTTCATCTTGATTTTACATTCTATTCGTGTTTTTTTAAATTTGTTATTCTTTTAAAAATATTGGATTTCATTTAGCAGGTATTTTTGTTGTTTGTATGTAGCATTAACTGTCAGAAAAAAATCCGGGTTTTTCTACTGCCTTTTAAGTTGAACTAGGCTGCTTGGTGGCCAATCTGTCTGCATGATATCTTATGGTAAACCCACTAAAGCAACCTTGATTCTATTCATACCGCGCTCTATCCGTGAATATTAATCGACCTCAGGTTGGAGGTATTGTGTTATCCTAAATTCCTCAAACAGTGATCTGCTATATTATCATTTTAAGAAGAACATCTTAAATACACTATAATTTGCTCGTTAACCCCTTGATCTCCAAGCCCTCTCTGGACAAGTGGTTTAACAAGGAGCTACCCTGGTATTTGGAGACGTTATGGCGCGCTAACAAGAGGGATTACTATTAACTTGATAAGTTATAAGTGTGTGATAAATTGTAATTATCAACTATAGAAATCGCCTTATAAATTCTCTTGAGTAAGAAAAAATATTTCTTCACGAGAATTACTATGCCATTGAAAACAGTGATGTCAGCGGTTTTCATCTTTGCTCATGCACATTGTCGCGCTGTTGCAGTGTCACGTAGAAGTGTAAGTCACAGCAGTAAGCAGTAGCAGTACATGGTCTGCGCACTCCACACCACTCCACCTAGCAGTAGCAGTAGCAGTAGCAGTAGCAGTAGCAGTAGCAGTAGCAGTAGCACTAGCAGTAGCAGTAGCACTAGCAGTAGCAGTAGCAGTAGCAGTAGCAGTAGCAGTAGCAGTAGCAGTAGCAGCAGCAGTAGCAGTAGCAGTAGCAGGAATAGCATGTATAGCAGGAATCAGAAATACCTAATAGTTCAACATACCTTTTGTCATCATTACATAGAGGACGAGAGCAGCCAATGTTTTTACTGCCATGTTTGATAAGAAATCGTCGGTTCACAACACGACCATAGGGTTTTTAAAGAACTTCTGAAATGTAAAAATCAGATTATCACTATTATACGATCAGGGCTTTAATCTGCTTGCGCTGTTAAATAAGTCTTTGCACATGACGTCAAGCATCTTGATCTTTTGAGAGTTGAACATACTTATATACCCTCAAACCTCTCTACCCGAATGTATGGGTACATTATTACACCTAGCGACGGTCTACAGAGTTATTTATATCAAACTTTGACGTCACTACTGACTCGGTTGCAACTTCGAGTAGCGGAATAGTTTGTGGGGATCCCTTGTATATCTGATTGATTTGTTCTTAAAAGGTGAACAGTCTTAGGACTCTAGATCCAAGTTGATATCTTCTAACTACTCTGATACAGTAAATTAACATCCAAAGAACATGAAAAAATGAAATTTGTGATTTTTGTTATTAATTTTCATGTCATTGTCGTTTAATATTGGTTTGATTAACTCTAGCGGTCTGATGATGATGATGATGATGATGATGATGATGATGATGATGATGAAGCCGATGTAACGGACAATAATTTCCGGATACTCTGATGCATTCAAGATGTATTCAACCTTTTCCTTGTGCAGTAATAATGTTCTTAAAATCTCAAGTAGTTTTTGGATAGGAATGTTGATTTACTGCTCCTTGCCCGCTCTGTTATACCTCAAAGTCAAGTTGCACACAACTTAATGAAAGCGATTCATTATTCCACCTCCTTTCCCTAACCCTTCATAGGATCTTTTCCTTAAATAAGATTAATAGAGAAGATATATTGCTAATCGTCTAATCAAAATAGTTCTTGGTATTTACATTCATAGAATAATCGCGATAATCCAGGCGTGATAAGCCTAATCAGAGCTCACTTAATAAGCTAGAGAATTTGCACGTCGCAAGCGCACGCGAAGGAAATTGCTCATGAAAAACACAAGCTTTGTTATATTTTAGCTGTGTCTTTTAACAAGAGTTCGAGAAGTGTGCGATGTTATTATCATTGTCTGATCTGGCGAGATAAGGTCTGGGTAAACACTTGATTGCTTATCTAATATATTACGTACAAACACTAAACCATAACAGCCTGCACGAGGGATGACACCGAAATATATACAACAAAATGGCCAGTACCGCGCCATATTGAACATCCAATATGGCGACCAGTTGTTATAACGTATAGTTTCCCATTGTCCCAGTTAAATATACAAACAGGAATCAATATATAAACTTTGGTGGATATACCAAGGGTGGTCTATTGATCTTACACAGAAATTCTTTATACTCTACAATCAAGAGCTTGGGTGTAACTTAGTGTCAAAAAGCACACGACCTGAGAATGAAACAAAAATGTGAAAAATACACGAAAACTCCTACACATAAGATTGAAATGCGGTAGTGCTGATACTTTATTGGTATCATATACAGTAGATTTTGCTATATCGGGGATTGTTTTAACGTCTATATGCTGCAAGGTCGGTGATTGGTTGATATCAGCGTCTTTGTCATGCACAGTAAAAAGAGATCCTTATAATAACATGCATAACATGTCCTCTTCTTATATAAACATCCTTACAAAAATATTGACCGTAATGCATGTCATGTATATATTACATATCTACTAATTAATTGCAATGAGTATTGGGAGATATCATTTCATGTATTGACAATGCCTGAGGGGCGACGAGAGGTCACAAATTAGCACCGATTGTTGCAAACGAAATCTTGTTTCAGTGCTGAAAACGGAACTGCGGTATAGCACATCAATGAAATCTATCAAGAACCATGGCGCCATTTTATTCGTGAAATCGGGCGTGTATGTGTTTAACTAAACGTCTTAACCAACTAAGTGGATTATCGGATTGTATTTATACAACGGGGTGATACTTAATTCAGACAACCTACTGATTCAGATGTTTATCTTTCTGAAGAAACTTTTCAAGCTTTTTCTTTTATAAAATGCCTTTCTGCTGCACTCTGTGTTACATTTGAAAATAGCCCTCAAGATCATAAGCTCAGAGGATGTAATTAAGACTTTATAGATGTGCTCGAAATTGAAATGTTTCTCTATCAGTAATGACTAATCTTTCATATTGTAGTGAATAGTCAACTTTATATATTTTGGTTCGATGACCATGTACAAAAGAACGCACACGAGGCTCCGGGAAAACAATAGATAATCTTTCCCCGGAGCCTCGTCTGCAATTCTTTTGTGCATTGTCACTGGAGCAAAATATCTAAAGTCGGCTGTTAAGTGTTTGTTTTTCTGTCGATTTTTCAATATTTTTAAGCGGTGCAAAAGAATACAAGCTGATAGAAATATATCCATGCATTGTTCCGTGACTAAATTTGCGCTCAACATATGCGGTGCTCTCGTCATTGTGCTAATTAGACTGTAGTCACGCACGCGTTTGAAAAAAAAAGCAAATGGTTTTGCAAAGTTCCTCGAAACGATTTTTCTTCTTCAAACTTACCTTGCGTCTCTGAAGACCAAATTTGCGTCAGCTCACTCAATACAAACCGCAGCAGAAATAACAACAAAGCGCATTATGCGTGTAAATACCCTTTATTCCCTGAAGCAATGGTAAAGGTGACATTAATGCCCACTGCGCATGCTCAATAGTTTCTAGGTCGCTGATGATTTATGGATTTCCGGTCGAGGTTAAATAGGAACAAAATATTGATTTTGACAAAATGTACTGCATATGGACCAAGGGAGTGAAAAGATCATTTTATATCTAACATGTATAATGTGTCCAAGTCTTAGCTGGCAAAGAGTTAACCGCCATTAAGATGGCTTTTTTCCAATTCATAGGTCAAAAGAGTTATGCTGCAGATCCTATTTTAAAAAAAATATGGCGATTGAGCTGTCCATTTTGCAGAGTTGCTTGTTTGATAATATCTGGCCTCATTTGTGAACACTGAGGCGTAACGGATAGAAAAACTTGTACTGTCCTAAACCACTCAAAATCCGAGGCGGTGCTCTTCTCTGACCGGGCAGCGTTCCTGTAAACGTCTTAAAAAAATGTTTTCTGTGCGCATAAAGCAAAGTATTCTGTGACGTTTCTAGATCCATCCCTACCAGTGTGATGTCGGCCTAATCCACACTTATCAAATAGACTTTAAAGCCGGATCAGTTTAAGTTGAACCGTGCAGTTTTTTCGCCCATGTAGATAACGCAACGCCACCAAGTCGAAGGCGTTCAATGAAAGCAGCTTAGAGAATAAAGCAGCTTTGTATGACCAAAATACAACATCTATCAAAAAACTTATAAATAGTTTTTTTGGGAAATGTTGATAATTTTGACAAGCACGTGGACATGCCGCACTCATTTGGCAGATTTCCACTGTTTACGTGTGATAGAAGCAGTGAATGGTAAAGTGTTTTGAGTGTAGGTATAGTCAGCATGCTTTTACTGAGATAACTGTAACTATAACTGAAGTTATAATTACAGATGCTCATGCACAAAACCTTTCTATAGTCTTTCTAAATCTTATTGAGTAGCACTGGCTTCGTTTGCAGTTTGTGAAAGCATTGTGAAAG